CTGGTGAGGCCACTCCTGGAATACTCTGTCCAGTTTTGGGCCCCTCAGTTCAGGAAGGATATTGAGGTGCTGGAGCAGGTCTAGAGAAGAGTAACAAGGCTGGTGAAGGGACTGGAGCACAAGTCCTGTGAGGAGAGGCTGAGGGAGCTGGGGTTGTTTAGCCTGGAGAAGAGGAGGCTCAAGGGAGACCTCATCACTCTCTACAACTCCCTGAAAGGAGCATGTAGCCAAGCAGGCATCGGTCTCTTCTCCCAGGCAACCAGCAGTAGGACAAGAGGGCATGGTCTTAAGCTGTGCCAGGGGAGGTTTAGGTTGGATATTAGGAAGAAATTTTTTACAGAGAGAGTAACTGGAAAGGGCTGCTCGGGGAGGTGGTGGAATCACCGTCCCTGGAGGTTTTTAAGATGAGACTGGATGTGGCACTTAGTGCCATGGTCTAGTAACCACGGCAGTGTTGGATCAAGGGTTGGACTTGATGATCTCGGAGGTTTTTTCCAAGCTGGCTGATTCTATGATTCTATTCTATGATTCTCCAAACATTCACTGTGACCGGGGCCTTCCCAGCTGAAGTGTGATCTGGATGATGATAAATACTTAGGGTAACTGGCGATGTATCTCTCTCTTAATCATTATACGACTTAATGATTAGATGCATTGCTAAGTGCATCCTTTCATACACCACTGTTTCTTTTGTAATTCTTTATTATTTTGCACTATAGTAAACTTATATACTTATTTGTTAAAATTGGTGTCTGTATTCCTTAAATCCATCCTCATTACCGGGCAGGGTGGGGAGGAGGGAGGGGGTGCAAAACAGATTGGCAAAACAAAAATGAAATGGAAAGGTAGGTGGAGAGTGAGATAATAACATTTGTTAGTATTACAAACTTATTCAGGACAAGAAGGATGAGGACCAGCTGAAAAAAGCTGTAGAACACAATACTTGGTAATAAAAAACCAGTGACATTAAATGTAAATAAATGTTAAGTGATGTTCGTGGGGAAAAATAACTTCAGCTTTAACTATATATAAATCCTAACCAAACATACACAACCTCTCACTCAGGAATGAAATCTTCAAGTTATAAATAGTGGATAACTGTAGAGAAACAGTTCTATGAAAATGTCAGCTCAAAACAGAAAATATCATTACACCTCTCTGTAACTCCACAGTGTGCCCTCATCTTGAACACTGTATATACTTCTGGTTCACTTTTCTCTACTCCCTCCCCAGTCAGAAAGATACAGAGAAGACAACCAGGATGATCAAAAGCATGAAACAGTTTCAATAGAATTCTAAATTAAACATCTTAAGACTCTTCAGGCTAGAAAAAAAAAAAAAGAAAAGTGAAGAGGAATGTAACAGCAGTTTATAAAATTGTCAAGGTTATGAAGGAGTTGAAGAATTGTGTACTGCCTCTTCTAGTGAGAAAAAGCTATCAGATGAAATTTGAATATGGTAAGTTCAAAACAACAACAAAAAATCCTCTTCATGTAATTAAGTTATTACAGGACATTTGTCGTATTAAAAGTTGATAAACATTTGAAAAAGAACTGGAAGAAAACTGAAAAAAGCGACTGAATAGCTTTTGACTGGTTCTGAACTGCAAATATGTGTGGCCTGGAAGAGTAGACTTAGGAAGTATAACTTAATAACTTTCTCTGCAACTTTGCAGAGAAATACTTGTGAGATATGGTTGATGAAACACTCAACATGAGCTGGCAGTGTGCACTGGGGAGCATGGCCAGCAGGTCAAAGGAGGTGATTCTCCCACTCTACTATTCCAGACCACACCTGGAATACCGCATACAATTCTGGTGTCCACAACATAAGAAGGACATGGAATTGTTGGAGCAAGTCCAGAGTAAGACCATGAAGTTGATAAGAGGACTGGGGCACCTCTTCTATGAAGACAGGCTGAGAAAATTGAGGTTGTTCATCCTGGAGAAGAGAACGTTGTGTAGAGACCTCATGGCAACCTTCTGGTATCTGAAGGGGGCCTACAGGGAAGCCAAAGAGGGACTCTTCATCAGGAACTGTAGTGACAGGACAAGGAGTAATGGGTACAAATTGAAAGAGGGGAAATTTAGGTTAGATACTAGGAAGAAGTTTCTTTACTGTGAGGGTGGTTAGACACAGGAACAGGTTGCCCAGGAAGGTTGCGGGTTCCCCAACACAGTCAGTGTTCAAAGCCAGTTTGGATAAGACCTTGAGCAACCTGGTCTAGTGAGAAGCGTCACTGCATATGGCAGGGAGGTTGGGACTAAATTTTTAAGGTCCATATCAACCCTTAGCATTCTATTATTCTATGAAATATAATTGTTCTTGTGTAGGCATCTTCTCCTAGCTAACGTTTGATGATCAAACAAGTGTTTGATCTTGTCCTGCCATTTTTCCTAGGCCTTCTGCAGAGCTGTGTTACAACATGCCTGTATGCATTAAAGGAGATATAAAAGAGACAAGATAATGAGGTACATTGAACATGGTCTCACCTGGTACAGAGATGAATGGTCTATTATGTTCTCTACTTATTTTATAAATTTAATTAAATAAACATTCCTTCCCTTATGTATTTCTCTAAACAGAATTAATAAGTGTTTAATTCTGCTTCATGTTGTATTTGGTATAGTTTTCGTTCTAGAAAAGTTTATTTAATTTATTAAGATATGCAAAAGTACCTCAATTTTCATGTTATGGATGGAGCACGGGATATTGTTGTTGTAGACAAAAAGAATAGTGACATTTTGAGTTTGAGGTATTCATTGCAATATTTCTATTAATAATTAGCTGGTTTTGTACTAAGATCTGGCTTAAGACTGGTTATGTTTGAGGAGATTTCTAAGTGTTTCAAGGAGTCTATTAGCCCCACAAATTAGAATTCAATAATAAAGTGAAACGTGATATATGGGCTACACATATACAGACAAACTGATCATCCTTTGTTTTGCTTGAGGGTCAAGTTTGTCTGATTAACATCTTTGCATATACATTAAGTTCCAACCTGAGCTAAAAGTACTTTTGACAGAGAAGCCCAGGCTCAACACCTGACCTTCCATAAGGACATGGAAGCAGTCTGCCCAAGTGTCTTCTGGCTGTGGACCACAGGGCATTTTTCTACTGTTGATCAGAAAGAGAAGACCATCCCTGAGACCCTTTCCTTTCTGCCCTGATTTGTTCTGTGAGCAGTGACAAAGCAAGGAGCTTAAAGTCAACAGACACCATCAGGTAGTTTGTCCTGGACAGCTTCCTAGCAGCACTCTATCTTCCACAACTGATATCTGTTACCCAGCATATATATCACATGGTACGCAAATGAATTAATCTTCAGAGCATTCCTATGCTGTAGGTAAATTTTGCTCTTAAATAAAAAAAAACCAAAGAATGAGCCAATTCATCAAAAGACAGGAGACAGGCAGCAACAGGAAGGCTTCTGAAATTGCCTGGCGGCTGGGCTCACAATTCAGGAATTCTTTTCATTCCTGGTGTTGCGTAGAGGTCATCTTGCTCTTTGATGTAGCCTAGAAAATGAAATGAGCTATTAAAGTCTGGGTACATTTCCCCATTAGATTAGAAACATTTACAAGCCCAGCATTGCACATAAAACATAGATAACACTTCTCATGCCAAAACCATAACCAGACTTTGTTTCTTGTTCATTTTGGATAGTGTGACCTGTGGTCTCTCTTTCGCTATTTCACTTGTGGTTTACTGCATTGTGTAATTGTTACATCCACTTAAAGGTAAGCCAAAGTAAAAGTATATTTTGTTGGAGGTGAGATGTAAACAAATGTTTGATCTTGTCCTGCCATTTTTCTTAAGCCTTCTGCAGAGCTGGGTTACAACATGCCTGTATGCATTAAAGGAGATATATTTTAGAAACCAGATTGTATTGTTCATAAACACTTCAAGGTACCTGCAAACCTAGGTTAAGAACTATCATGTCTCAGGAACTGACTAAATAGGTAGTTATTGTATACACTCATTGAGTTCTTTACAATAGAACTGTGTTCAAGAGCAAATGGACATATATGAATATTTATTTACAATGTCAATTTTCACCACTGCTTCCACATTCTAGCTTAAAAGTAATCACTTAAACAAAGACAGCAAGGAATTCTTACAAACCTTGCTGCTCTATATCTAAAATCTAAACACCAAAATATAAATTATTGAATACTGTTTTATAAGAACTTAAGCATTTTTTCCCTGTATTTTTACTTTAAACAGATGCTGTAGATATAGATGTAGTCTTTTTGCATTTATATAGGGCTGGTGTTATTAAGAATACCCACATGAGAGAAGGTTACAAAGATGATCCTTGTAAGAAGGTGAATCAGATGGCATATACTGTAATATAGGGTACTTCTTGCTGTAGCTGATTGACACGTTTAGAAAAGCTGATACTTTGATGAGAAGATCAACTGTACAATATTCTCGCAGAATCTTCTCCAGAGTCTCAATGCAAACTAACATAAGGATGCAACGTCTGTGTCAAGAGAAATAAACACACACTAAACCAGACATTTATTTTCCTCAAACTAAACTCTGAAAGCATATGCAACAAAATGCTAGGAAAAGGTAGAAATGCCAACTTTACAGCAACAGTCACATTTCAGATAAAGAAAAGCTTTTATATGAAGTTGTATCCGCAGTCCCTGGCATAAAATATAAATAGTTCCAGCTATAGCACTTTATAACTGAGAAGGAAGCATTCCTAGGAGCAAATAATTTGATTTAAAAAATTCTACTCTTCAACAAGCATTTAGCATTTGTAATTAAAAATGCATATCCATCAGCTAATATGTAGGAACACTGGTAAAATATGTTTGATGATTTTATTCAGGTGCATGGTCAGAGCTTAGCATGAAGACTGTCATATAAAATTGCAAAGGACTAATGTTGAGCTCATATACTGAGTCATTATTTTATCTTATTTTTAATAACTTGATCGACCTATGCTATTCCTGTTTTTCATGTGAGGAGAACTCTAGCTAAATGTTCTATTTGTTAATTCTCTTTTCTTAAAATAGTCTGGGAGGAACTGAATGGCATTGTTCTTCCCCTCACTGCATGCTGGAGGTCAGGGATTTCTGTTTTGTACAAGGCACCTTTGCTTTACTCTGCCTCACCTCTCTACAATGTCCAGAAGAGATGGCAAGCTGCTTTTGATCATGTGAACCTTACTACGTTCAATGGGAAAACAGAGCTGGTTGTGGTTAGATGTGGCATCAAGTTGTCATTTAGAAAAGAGTTCCCAACTAATGGATAAAGTATTTTTAAGCATGCTGGAATGGTTCCACAGCCAAGATGTTATAAATGAATAGGACTTTCGTTATAAGCCTTGATCTCTTCCCTCCTTCCTCCCTTTCTACCTCCCCCCACCTCTTTGTAAGGATGAGTCAATATCCTTCTAATTGGGTGTCCTTTCTGGACTTTTTTTCCAGGTTTTAGGCATTAAGAAAGTTCAAATCCTTAAACACATAGCCCAAGTGACCAGAAACCATTTTTTTCTTTAACAGATTTATTGCTTCAAGAGGTTATTCATTTCAGAAGGTTTAAGTATTGTTATTGAATTTTTTGCTACACATAGAAAATGTAAAAGGAACTCAGTTGTGCTTCAGTGAAATGGCATTATCATCCCAAGAATGAACAAGCTGATTTGTTATGTCCTTAACAAGAACCAGTCAACTTCTAAATAGTGTTGTGGGATTGTTCTCAAACCGTGGCCCAGTATGCTTTCACAGATAACTACCCTGGTATCTCAGTGGTAGCTCTGATTTTGTCATCACATCCTTTCTGACTACCTAAGGAAAGCAAAAGTGCGTAAAGCCATCTCTGTCAATAATATGACAGATGAGATGGGCCAAACTTGAATGCTGACAGTCTGGTAAGATTAAAAATCTGGTAATGGAGACTTCTAATGGAGAGTCCTGACAAGGTCCTGGTGAAGATCACTGACAGGTGTGTTTACTGATTTTGCAAATTTTTGTCTTGAGAGTTTTAACAAATAATTTCTGCTTGGAATTCACTGGTACCTGCCTTCACAGGATCTCAGGTGAATATAAGCTTCCTGGAAAGCAAATTCTACCATTCTTATTTAATAGATAATAAAAAGCAGGCAAGCAAAGATTAAGTGCTTTGTTTGTAGATATAGTGAAAGTTTGTGGTAGATTTTAGAAGAGAGTTGAGGTTTCCTGTGTTAAAAAAAAAAAAAAGAAATTTATCTGGGACTCAAAATTTATATGCACTGAGACTATGTTCAGTTTAAGGTTTGAGTGCTTTTTAGAGAACAAAAATTAAATCCCTCATAATATTAGAGTGAAATTTTATACATTCCTTTGTGAAGAACAGAATGTAATGATTGAACTGTATAAGCCATTTATGTGTAGGGAAAGTCTCTTATATGGACCAAGTCTGATGTCTAGGGTAAAGAATCAGATTTGCTCTTTGCAAATTAGCATAAGATCTCTTGTGTGTAGATGTGAAGAAATTATTCCACACTTCTATTACTGAATTCTTGCACCTATCCCTGAAATATCTGGTGTTGCCTGCTCTCTGAGAGAGGTTGCTCTAGGAAAATCTATGGAGTGATTCAACATGGCAGTTCCTCAGGTCTGCCCTCTCACCATGTGAGACTGCCTGTGTAATGGGAATTGTAGAGCATCTGTGAGCAAAGAGAAGTGAAAATCAGTGCCCTTCTGCAATGATGTGTTTCTTGGTCTTCCTACCTCCTTCTCCCCCTTCTGAAATTACCTAGGGAGAAGAAACTAGGCACTGAAATCAGACACATAGCAACTGTAAATAAAAGTATTCTTTTGCTGTTCAGTAGTGTCCATCTCTTACCTTTGCCAGAATGCTACTAAAAAACACTATTAAATATATTCACCAATTCACATTTCCTTCCTGTTACCTCTGTGAATCATTACTAGTGGATATGAAATGAGAACGTCAGAAAATTGAAGACAGAAAACTGTTGGGGTAAATGAGACCTTCAATTCTTTTTCTCTGTAATGGTCAGTGAAAAGGACAAACATGCTATATTTCTTTTCTGACTAACAGTCAAGGAAGTGCTAGCTTTCCAGTGGAAGCTAAGTTATCCGCTTCCTGTGTAGTCTTCTCGGACAGATCCTCCAAACCTGTCCAGCTCTTCAGCATCTTCCTTCAAATTTCCTTCCTCATTTCTATTAAATGAAAAGAAGGTTGAATTTTATGCAGATTTAGACCAATGCATATGAGTTTAGAGGAAGGGTAAAAAGGAGAATGATGATCAGAAATGTCACCAGGTGTGTACAGATTGGTTTCCCCAGTTCTGGAAGTCAGTAGATTACAGACTAATATTCTTGGGTTTAAAAAAAAAAAGAGTTCCCCAAACTCTCAACTTGAACTTCCTCTCCAAGCTCTTAGGAGGGTTTTCCACCAGAATCTCCCTTCTAATTCTGCAGTGGCATTTTTCTAAGATGTCACTCCTTACTTCATCTATATCTTTGGAGGTAAAAATTAAATAGGCTTGTTCCCAAAAGACTGGAGAATTGTAACCACTCTGGACTTGATTCCAACATGTGCTAACAGGCCAGTTTCACAGATGATAATCGTTAACCTTTTACAGTAGCAATATGAAAATGAGTCATAAATCCTAACTCAAATGACATATGTTCATATTGCAGTCTCAGCCCTCAGTTTCTATACAGGTAACTCCCTCACACAATTATTTGTCCTTAGCCCTGCTCTTAGGGAGAGGAACACATTCCTTCTGAATTCTATATAAAAATTTTACCTATGCCTGCCCTTCATGGGACATGAGCAGGGGATCTCCACTGCTTTCAAACCTTCATTTATCCAGAAAAAACTGTCTTTTTAATGTTGTTTGTTAAATGTGTTTCTCTTACTGGCTGATGGGAAAAACAGTCATGTGGCTGGAATATTCCAGCAATAAATAGTTCTTGTGATTATCGAATGCCTTGGACCCATTTCATCATTTAATCACCCTGAAAAGCCATAAATTGCCTCATATACTCCTTTACTATGAACATTGTCTCTTAATCAAACTGGACTAATAAGTTTAAAAGACATTATCCACTTATATGTGAATTTTGGTAGGTTATGAGAATAATGAGCCAGATGTACAGGAGATGTAAAGAGCAATATAAGTTGCAAGTTCATCACTTAGAGCTTATACAACCCGAGAAGGGCAGAAATATGTGATATTAGCAGAGAAAGCAAACAACACGTTCCTGGTCATTTACAGTCAACATGAAAATGTTTACATCTAGTCCTTAGCAGTGTCAAAGACAAGCTTAGACCTGTTGACAGGAGTAGGTTTCAGTACGGTCTGATACTCGGTACTGCCTATATTTTTACTTGGAAAGGTCTTTGTGTCCCAACCCAGAGATAAAACTTTGCTCCAGAAACCCTTCTTGTATTGACTTTATAGAATTGTGAAAGAGATTGCCTAAAAGGGAATTGCCATCATTGTCACTTCTGAAGTTTAAATTTATGTATCAATTTTTATTATATGTTATTTATCCATACTTAAAGCAAATAGTCCAAATAATTGCTTTTTTTATTCTATTCAGGTGCTGTAAGCATTCTTACTGATAACTGTCTATAAAAGTCTACTGTACACACACCTTACCACTGTTTATTAACTGCATTAGAAATTAAAGTTTTTAACTGGTTCAACTACATGGTCTATCACAAAGTGTGACATAAGCAAACCTCATCTGGGCACAGTAGCATGGAGTGTGTGTTTGTGTGTTGAATCATAAAGTTGTAATGAAAATATTTTATGGTAAGATCTTCTCAGTCCCAGTTCAAGAGCTTCAGATCCGTGACCTATGATATAGGCTCTGCTAAGCTAAATATAACATTGACTTGGTTTGGTAGTGTGTGTACTTGCAAATGGAAATTAAACATCTAGATTTTGCTAGGGGATTGTAGGTATAGCCTGTGTTTTGCAAAGATAAGTGAGGTATCATAAGCTGAACAAGTGTAAATCTTCTGATTTTGCACAGAGTATAGCATAGGTGACAAGAGTGCAACTTTTCCAGTTTTAATAGAGACACGTCCCCTGTAATTGATCTAGTTATACAATCAATCTCCCAAATTGCACATGGCACGCAGAAAACTGATTCTTTCCCAATGGTGATATTTTATGAGATTGGCTGTGGATTTATAAGCAGGCAGAATATTTTAAAATGCAACCAAAATCCAAAGACAGAAAGACTTAAGCAGAAAGAACCTAGTAATAAATTAATGAAATTAAACATTCTTTATACATGAAAAAATAAGTTTTACTATTGATTAAGGCAGTGAGAAGCACAATTCTATCCCATTGCTACCATATTATTGTCACTTCAACCTGAACTTGCAATTTTCACAAGTTTCAGCATTAATCTTTGAAACTGTCATCTGTTATGCTTAATGAAATTAAGTGACAATTGTATTTCTTTTATTACATTAGTATAATTAGAGTTTTTAGAAATGCACTTTAGGGTTAAAATAAATCATAAAACTTCATTAATTATAAGAAGTCCATCTTGCTGGTTTTTTTACTAAAATATTTTAGGTTTGTGTTACTGTTACTTTGTCTCTGTTAATAAATATTGATTAGGATTAAATACTTTATAACATATCTTTTTCCATTCATGAGTTCTGGGCATCCACCTTCACAAATGAGGATAAATGTATAATCTCATGGTCTAGTGTAGCATATCCTTTACGCATGCACACTGTGAGTGTAGTTAACTACGGATGTCTAGACAGATACTTAGACAGACATTAATGGATATGTATAGAAATCTGTTGTGTATTTCTTAAACACTAACTTTGTTTTACCAAATTCCCAAATTGTATATTTCCCTGCAAAGTGTAGAGCAAATTAATGTAATAGTTTATAGATTGATGTATCCATGGGTCAAGATTTTAATTTTGTTTGCATCAATGTGAGGCCTAAGTCGTTCAATTGTTCCCAAGTTCACTCATTTGAGAAAACAAGATAAAATACTTTCTGCTTTATTTTAAAAAGTAATAATACAACTGAAAGTATTTTAAAACTAATAGTTGGTATGGTGACTATCCTTGAAATGGCATTGGTAATTTCCTCTTGTGTCTTTCTAGCTATTTCAGCAACTCTATAGGACGAGGAAGGGAACTGAGCAAAAGCCAAGTGCTCCTTAGCTTTTCTTTCTCTTTCTAGGGAAAATTCCCATCCTAACAGTGTAGTCACAGAATTAGATCAAACCTAGACCCAAGATTTGTATTCATTTCATTTAGCAAAGTAAGAAACTGAGGCAGATGACTATTTTTCCTTCATTCCTTGTTTTAGACAAATGAAGTGTCTCTTTCCATTTTTACTTGCATGGGTTGCAAGATAGCTTGTCTGTCAATGTAGACAAACAGTAACTTTTTGATCCAAATGAAGTTTTGTAATCATGTTATTTTGTAACATTATTTTTTAATTTTAGTTCTGTTCAATGTTGAGAATTGTATGTTCCTGGCTGGTAAAAGCCCCATTATTTTAGGCAAGTATACAAAAAAATAAAATCATGATAGCTAAAAATACTAGTAGAAATGACTGAGGTTTATTTTTATGTTAGTTTTTCCTATGACTTACATTTTACATGAACTATCCGAATGAGCACTTGATGATAAGACTTTAGTCCAGTCATTTATATGGATGCCAAAATGAAAAGCTAGGAGGATATATTCAGGCAATGAAAGAAAATATTGATTATGAGATAGAACAAAGAGAGGAAAAAAACAACCTCATGAAATACTTCACTTCAAGAAAACTATAATTCCCAGAATTACTGTGGTACTGGTTACTTTTTTTCCAGTTGTAAAGATATGAGTGAGAAATAACTGTATAAGATGGCACAGTTGTGAGTGAGAAGCACGAGAAAATAAATTCTGATTCTATGTGTAGCAATGACTTTTTATCAAAGATTTGTCAAAGGTTGTGCATTCAGTATTATGGACTCATAATATGCAAATGCATTCAGCTGTTAATACACATTCACAGAATACATGTTAGTGATTCCAAAGGAGCTGTTACAATATGTGCTCTGAATATGTATTAGGAATAATACACAATATGTAAGTAAGAGTATTATGAAAATATAAGATAGAATGCACAATGTTTTTAATACTCATTCATAGTGTACTCCCTGGCAGCTCAAAAGGAGCAACCGTACTCTGTATTATGAATTCATATTAAAGATGCACAAAATTAACTAAATTTTTATAGATCTCAGGATGTGTTATCATGATTTCACAAGCAATATATCACAGTCTTCTGTTCCACTGCATTATTGATTCTATTTGTAAAACATGCTTGGTTTAGTATTTATAATTTTAAAATTTTTGGGAAGGATTCACTAGGTATTCTTTTCACATGGAAATATTTTTGGTTTTTTGTAGAATTCTAGATATGGTATTTTCCTAAACATCATTTGATATTGGTGATTAGTTTGATACTGCTGAGAAAAGGTAATGTAAATTTCATGAATACTCACAATTGTAAGGAATTTGCAGAAGCAAAAGGAGCCTTGTTACCCTGAAAAACATCAGAAATATTTGGCTTAATTTTTTTTTGTATGCTATAAATACAGCCTCTAGGATTATTAGGACTTAATGTTTCAGGTAAATTCATTACATGATTATAAATTTACTAAGTCTCTACATAGCTCACATTACAATATTCTGTGTTCAGCTAGCTTTTTAATCAATATTCCCTTAAAATTCCTGCCCAGTTAGCTCAAAAGATGCTGTTGTCCATTGCTTGCCTTTGCTGAGATGTTCTTTAACGTGAAGACAAGTTCCAAATAATCTTGAGTGCATTAAAAAATCAGTACTGAGTTTGAACATTATTTTTTGCTGAATGTTAAGTTTCTTCTGAAATCCTAAAAAAGCTTTTTATTAATGAAGGAACAATATTGACTGCAAAGTGAAACACTGAATAACTGAAGGAATATATGCAAATAAATTAACTGTTGCAATCCAGTACACTTAGTTGTAATTGAATACTGAATACTTCTTCTTGACTTATTTGTAGGAAGGTAATGAATTACTAGTTGACATTTTGTTATGATGAAACGTCATTGTGCATGCCTGAATATATGATCTGTTATTTTTCATGGGGTCTATTACCTGCTTGAGTGAGCTACTTGTTTGAGCTTGCTAAGTAATAGCTGAAACTACCATAAGCCATGTCATGTGATGTGTTTCACCCTAAGCAGGACAAAGCTTGTCGAGCTGAATTGGTCTTCATGCAACTCCTAGGACTTCACTAGAGTTACATCAAAAATAATTAACCTCAGAGATTTGTTTTACTTAATCATTTATCAATTTCAATGAAATCTTTGCCACCTGTTTTTTTTACAGAAACAAAATATTTCTTACACTATTATATTTACTATAAACAGAAAAATAAAATGGAGAAAAATCCCTTTTCCTATTTTAAATTCATGTTTACACTGAGTTTAACTCACAATTGACAGCTTGAGCCAGCACAAAGCAGTCATTAAGCCTCATATTCCCTTTCTCCCCACTATAGAGTCCATCCTGTGGCAGGAAAACATCAAACCTGAAAAAGTATCATTTATGGTAGAAAACCCTCTTGCTCCCAGGTCAGTATACAGCATTACTGGAACAAGTTGCTTCTCCAAAAGAGAATGCATTTCTTTATTCCATTTCTGGTTATGGAAGGAGTTAAGTCAGCATGTCTCTAGTTTCATTTTAGATATTCAACTATTTATTTGCTTCTATGGTTGTGCACTTTGGAGGTGCATTTTTCCTTGGCCTAGAAGGGGTTGATTGCCCTGTTAGGACCAGCTGGTGTCTAAGGCACTGTCAATCCCACATCACTTTATGCTTTATGAAGTACAAATCCTAATCTAGAACACAGCTGCAATCAACTCTGCTCTGGCACCCGAGAATTTATGTCTTTAAACAGGATGTTTCACAGAAGGGTAGTATACAAGCTGGGCCATGAACACCAGGCACCAAAGGTACTCCAAAGCAGGCACTTTTTTTCTTTTACTGTGCTTTTATGCATATACTGCACATATTTCTGCTTTTGATCTAAATTAAAAGAAAAAAATAATTTGTAAGCTTCACTTGTATATCTTTTTATTCACTTGTTATTTTACAATATAATTTGGTTTTAACTCCACGTTTTTTATTTAGCCCTTTTAACTAAAGCAGTCCTCCCATTTCAGAATTTCTGCACTATCAAATATTTAGGACAGAGATCTTGCCATGATGCTAATACTGAAAAGAGCAATGAAGTTTAGAATAATACAGATATGTTAAAAATGCATATTGCAAAGTTGAGTCATATTCTCAGACATAGCAGAAGGCTAATTTAAATTCAATAACATTATTGTCCATTTTTCAGAACTATTTAAGTGATCTAGAGTGTTAAGATGGATGTAAAATGTTTTCAGCTTCCTCTGTTCCTGCTGACAGAAGGAAATCAGCATCAGTTAAAGAGTAGCCTTAGGGAGAAAAGAGTAATGTCAAGATAGGGAGAAAATTTGGATACCTAGACCTGCATTGATCCCTAATTAATAGCTATTGATCATATTTTTTATTGGAAGAGTTATGCATTGTTGAGATGAGCATCTCTGCTATCCACAACTTCCTCCAAAACAAACTATCTGATACCCAAAAAAGCACAAAGACTAGAAGTCTGCCTTGGAAAACTCAAGCTAGAAATATAGCTCCAGATTTTAATAATGTAAGTAAACTTTGCATCAGTTAATTTTGTGATGTTGTGGGTTACTTTAAACAAACAACTTTTGTCTTTCTAAAACACTTTTTTTGTTCAGTGACAAGTCTATTTTGATTGGAGGTAATATCTATTGCACGGTTTGCGTAGGAACTCAGGCTAGGAAATGGTGATAAACAATTTTGTCCTGAAGACATATGACTATATTCTACATTTTGTGCGCTTCTAATAGAGATGTGTTTTCATTTATTTTTAACAGAGAAAAAAAAATTGGAGGGTTTTTTGTTGTTGGTGGTGGCATGGTTTTATTGTGAGGTGTTTGTTTTTTGGTTTTGGGGGGGGGGGTTTGGACATTTTTACCTGCCTACAAACTGTACTTATTTTCCATCTAGAAACCCTTTGAGTTTCTCTTCACATCCACTCCAAAATCTGCCATTACTTGCCTATAAGACCTGAATTTTATGGTCTAGCAATGGAAGACTATATTGGAATACTTATGTGCAACAGCCTATAATTCAGTTGCTATAATAAGATACAGTATATCTCATATTTGTAGCTGACTTGAAAGACTGCTGGTGTTAATTTCTGAAATGCCCACTTTCTGAGAATTTTCAATAACATTTTAGAATTATACGTATTACACAGGAAAGTAACACAACAATTTTTTTAGATTAGCTGAGTATTTGTTAGAAGTATGTTGTACTGTCAGGAAGTGCTTATGCCAATGAGCTTTGCCCATCTGTGATATCTTATTAACAGTGACCGCACTGGACCCATCTTTTTAGAATAATCACAGTCTCTAGTATGTAATATATCATGTATTGTGCAATATTTTTATTGTGCTATTTCAGTGAATTGAGCTTTTTTGTGTATTGAATTCTCTTACCTTTTCTTAATCTGATTTTGTTTAGGATTATCTCCCACTACATCAGCTGCAATGTCTGCTGGAGATCCTGTTAATTCATCTAGTTGCTGTAAATTCTACAATTGAACCTTGGGAGGATGAGCTCATCCAGTGATCTTTTAAAAGATGATAAACTGAAAGTCATGGAGTTTACCATATGGTTTCATAGATAAGGTTAAAAAAACCCAAATCGCCAACCCTGCACAGTATCATCTTTTCACAGGCATTTATTATCCAATGAAATATTTTGAAGGCAGGGTGTGGCTGGCTAAATTACTGCTCCTCCCACTGCTCTCTGCTATGTTTCCAGTTTCAGAGGGAAAAACACAAGCTTGTATGTCGAGAGTGAGTCATAACCTCTCTTCTGCTACTGACTCACTTGGGAGTTTGAGGTAAGTCATTCTACCTTGTGTCTCAATTGCTCTGCCCTCAGGACAGCAAGGAGAGGACTATGGAAAGTTATGCAATGTTTTCACAGATGAGAAGTGTAGATATTGAAACCAATATTATTATTATTCCACAGTGCAATAATAACTTCATATGCCCCCAAATGGATTTTTTTACACAGCTTATTTCCTACAAAAAACATTCCTTTTCCCCCCATTTTGTTATATAAAAATTTAAAGAATGACTTAGGTTACTGAAATGCTTTAAAATTATAGTATTTCTTAGAGGAAAGTGTATGCACCTTTTGTCACACTGTTCTCTTTTGCACCAACAATGTCAATAATAGTGCTATACAATGTGCAAAATTACCAATGACTTCTGAAGTCTGAGTTGGCCCTGAAGAGTGTGGAGTTACACGCAACACTGGCTTCTAGTCAGGTATTTACACGCTGTCGTGGTTGTTTTGCAAACATGGCAGGGAAATGCTAAATTTTAAAAAGTGAACTTTTAATACCTGAGCATATTCCTTAGCATACGTGATATCAGAATAAATATCCACCAGTTCTAATCTCATATGTTAGGATGCAGATAGTCTATAACTTGGCTGTCTTCCTACTTTTGTTTCCCAAAAAACATATCTATCTAAGTATCTCACGGTAATGAGATATATTAGTAAAGTGTATTTACTAAACCATAACAAAAAACCTGCTTGTAAATTTAAAGGAAAATACATTTTAAACATAGACAAGGTTTGATAGCTCAAGGTGACATACTGTGACAAGCAAGGCAAAGCATGTAGGTTGGGGACACCAGCACACACATGAGCGATAATTGCAGTACCCCACGGTGTGGGCAAGAACGGAGCATGAGGCTGATGATCACATCAGTCTGTGCCATGGGAAAGAAATGTATTTCCTATATGAAGAAAGTCCAGGTAACACTGCTTGGCAGATGACAGCACAGGAAGTAGTTTGCACTCTAGGGTTTTACTTTTGAAAACTGCTTGTTGTATTCTTCGTGTTCTTTAAGTATTTCTGTGTGCCCGCTGTGGAGTCCTTTTTATGTATATATGTGCATGTTACCAGACAGGGGAAGGTGAGGGGTGGAAGAGCAGGCGGGGGCCTGCAGCGCTCCACGTGCTGCTCCCCGCGCCGAGGCGCAACTGGTTGCGGGCGATCACAGCGCCGCGGCCAAGTCGGGAGCAGCGCTGCGCCGTGCGCCGTGCCCCGCACCGCTACCAGTGCCGCACTGCAACCCCTGCCCGGGCGGGAAAGCCTCCCTTTCACAGTATCCTGGTTTTTTCCCTTCATGCCTATTTCTGCCTGATGGGTTTAGGTCTCTTGGGGAATTTCCATGGCTGGAGGCCGGCTGGGGGCAGCGAGGCGTCCCGCGGCCGGCCGGCCCCCAGACCGGCCCCGCAGCCCGCAGCCAGCCCAGCCGCGGGCCGTCGCTGGCGGGCGGCAGGACTGCAGAGCCGCCGCCAGCCGGAGTGGAGTGTTTCATTGTCCGGAAATGATGGAGAGGAGTGACTGTGGCGGCGAGGGGACAGCGGGTGCGAGTGCCAGGCTGTGCGCGCCACTGGCTCGGGGGAAGGCCCGCGGGCGCGGGGCGGGAGAGGAGGCGGCAGCCGGGGCGGACGGCGCGGCGGGTGGCAGCAGAGCGGGGAAGCCACGCGAAGGATCCCGCGGCCGGGGCGCGGGGGAGGGCCGGGCGGCGCGGCGGAGCGGAGGAAATGCGGAGGTAGGGCGCGCCGCGCTGCCGGGCCCGCTCGCCGCGAAGGACGGGCCCCCGGGCACCCCCCGCGGCCGCCCGGCTCCGGGCCCGCGGCCGCTCCGCCCCCCGCCCCCTGGCCACGGGCGCTCGCCGCAGGGGGCGGGGGGCGCGCCCGCAGCCGCGCCGCGAAGTTGCCGCCGCTTCCTTGCTCCCCCTCCGCAGTCCCTCGCCCCGAGCCGTGAGTTTTCTGCATAAAATACGTTAACGAGCCTTTTCATTTGCTTGTTCCTTCAGGGTCGCGTGTTAGTTTTGTTGGAGAGGGGTGCAGGCTCTCTGTTATTCGACGCGAGAGCTGGCAGATGTCCCAAGTGAGAGAACCTCTTCCTCCGGGGCCTGGAGGGCCAACGCAAGCTCCAACTGAAAACAGCTCTTTGATCTCTCTCCCTCGAGGTAAGTTGCTTTAAAGTTTCTCTGTAATTGTTGCGCCTTTTATTTGAATGATACATTTACTGATTTGTTTTGAGAATTTTAACCCCTCTTTTCTTTCCCCTTCCCCTGCCCTCCGCTCTTTAGTGTGTCTCTGTAGCACTTTCACTTCACCTCTTTATTGTTTTAACCAGAAATTCCCATATATAAAGAAAAAAGAAGGTGCAGTGATCTCAGCACCAGTTTTCAGTACTTGAAAAACTGCAGTTGTTCAGAGGCAGATGCTGCTCCTTAAAAATCCCTTTCCTGTTTCTCAGCTTTGTGTTTATGTTTAGAAGCTCTTTGCTCTTTCCTGTAGAGCTCTTCTTCCAGGTCTTGAAGTAAGTTAAGGAAGGTTGATCCAACAGCAGGAGTGTTGTTCAGGTTGGAGGTCACTTTGCTGTTTTTTTGTTGGATTACTCTGTGACGCTGCGGCTCAAGTCAGTTTCTGAGAATATAACCTGTTTCATTTCAGCTATTAAATAGATTGTTTAAAAGTACATTCATCTTAAAGAGAAATTCTTTAAGTTATGCCTTATTTGCATTTGCAGAAAATGTATTGGTACTCTGATCACCTTCATGTAGGGAAGTTTGACAAAGTGTATTGCAGGTTATCCTCAAAACTGGAAGTATATTTGCCTCTCAAGTCCTGGTCTGTGAAGATGAGGAGTTGTTTTTTTTAATTTGTTTACAGCTACAACCTTGTTTTCCATAATTCTACAGGAGTTTAAAAACTCTCCAAAGAACAGACAAATAAGCTTGTTGAAGAACTGTAACTTTCTTCATAACTAGTTAACTGGAGCAGAGCCTGGTAACACAGTTGTGCAACTGTGGATTAAGGATGTAGTCGTGTTTTTGTAACTTGGAAAATCGATAGCTATGTGAAATCAAAGCTGGAGACTCATTTGAGAAACCAGAAAGTATCCATAGCTAAGTAAAAAATGTTTTGGCAGGGAGACATAGCAAGTTGGCTTATGCTTATCTTATTGTTGGTTGTTTTTTTTTTGTCCTAGAGAATGACTCATAACTTCTAAACAGTAAAAAATAATAATAAAAAAGGATTAGATACAGAAGATCAACCATGCAGAACTGAACTGTTAGAATCATATTTTTACCAGAACCATCAGTACCTGTGATATGTGTTTATTTTCAGTGTGTTGTTCTTATCTGTAACGTGATCAAGTGGCCACACTGGTTAAATTCTGCATATAGGCCATAGATCAAAGTTACTCAAGTTGTAAGTCAGTGTACTAACAAGCATGGAAAGTGGTCTCATTCTCACAGTGCCACTTTAAACTGAGTTTTTGCTATGAACTAAAATCTTATGTAAGATTTTCAATACATGCCCTTCTGTTTTTTTAATGAAAAGTAAGTAAACAAATACTGATCTGTTCACTGACAAGTTATGTGCAAAAAGTCTGAATGACACAGTTATAGCTGACAGCTTTCTTAGGGATCGGTAAGGTACAAACAAATAATGATTCAGATTTGCTCACTGGCCACACCTTTTAAGGCACATGCTCAATTTTAAAGCATATGTACAATTCACATAAAGACAAGGTTGTTTTTTAAACAAAATTCAGCATTCAAATACATAATTTTTATTCTAATGAACTTAGATTTAAGGATAACTGTGGATATTTGTTGCTTTTTTCTAGCTTAAGTCTGTTGGGGAAATGGGGGTGGAAAGAGGAAGAGGTGAGTTCATAACATTTCCAGTCTATATTCCAGCATTTCTGTTGTCAGCTTTGCAGTGTGTGGTTACAGGGTAAGGTAGTTCAGATATTCCAGGGCTGAAGATCTAAGACTAAGTCTAAGACTTTCAACAACCCCTATCCTTTTACTTTACCCCCTGGACACCTGATATTGTGCTTTCTCTAGAATTTGATGATAATTTTAAAAGCTGTGGTTGAAATTCATATTATTTCTGGAAATGATTCCATATATTCACAGTGAGATACTTGAAATCTGTGTCCACCTAGAAGTACAGATTCCTTTATCAGAAGAAGGTGGCTTATGTTGTATGAATATTAAAGTATTAAGGGCATTCTAGTGGGAAGGAATTTTTGTTTTGTAACACCATACTTTAATGTGCTTTCTATATTTGTTAACTGGTATAGACACCTCATATCCTGAGAACAAACTTCTTCTCTTCTGTAGTTCTGTAAAGTATAGTCAAAAAATCCAGATATTCAGTGTTTCTTTTGCTTGCTATCATATGCATTCAGATGCTGAAGATTAATTGTATTTTTCCAGGAAAGGAAATGAAACTTCAATTGAATTTTGAATATTCAAAAATAGCTATCCCACAGCCTAATTGAAAATCAGACAAAAGTAATCAAGCTTAGGCAGATTGCGAGTATATTCATCAGGTCGTGGACGTGGTGAAAACTGTGGGTTTGAGACATAGTTTGGCCTACTGCATAGGTGTGGCATGCTCTGGCTTTCACAATTAAAAGAATTTTTGTGTGTTACTTTAACCAACATGCTCTCTCAATGTCTCCCCCGTCACTCTTCTTCCTTGTTAGTTCATTTTTTAATGAATGCATAAATATTAGTGAGAGTATGGAACTTTGCCCCTTCATAATTAGTGTGCTGTGAGAGAGAGCAAATGGAATCAGTGTATTTTTTTGTGGCGATGTCAAAACTCAACTTCAGTCTTTAAACCATTATCTGTGTCAGTGGAGTCTGCTGCTCTAAGATACACACTACAGGATAAAAGGTTTAACCTAATTTCTGCAAACATGTTAGTTGTTGCTACATGCCTCCAAAAGTGTAGCTCTACTCATGCACCCTTGTTCAAGATCCTGGTCATGCCCTCTCTTCTTCTGTAGCTCATTGTCCTTGGAACCAAATAATGACTGCTTCTACCTGTATGATATAGTCAGCAAATAGTGTCGTATCTATGCTCAAACCGCTGCAGTTTGGCTGTGATCAGGTATTTTCTCAACTGGTACATACCAAAATAATGGTACTAAGGAAGGAATGTTACAATTAGTGACCATTGCACACTCTGTTCTAAGGAAAATGTTCAGTGTGTTAGAGGTTGTGGTGTGATTATTACCTGGACCGTGGGTAGACTTTTTAATTAAATCCTCTGCACTTGAATAAGCCATGGAATATAAGAGAGAAATTCAGTGGACATAGAACTGCATTTAGAGAATCGGGCCACATTTTAGAAAAACTATAAAGTATTTGGAATGCTTTTACCTTTGCTTATTGTTTACTAACTGTAACCTAGAATAACAAATGAATAATATTTAGGTTTCTAAATTCAGAAAGAAAGTAAAAACAATAATAATAGTAATAATAAACAACTTATGAAATTGAGACTGATAATTGTACTTCAACTCTTTAGATGATGGAAATCCACTAGAATTTTTTATTTTAATGGGGGATGGGGAGGAGGATGGAGATGTCTAGTAGAAATATTAAGGGTCAAGTTCTTTAAGTGACTTTTCTCTCTGGTGCAAATCATCTTGTGGTTGCTGGATACCAATGCAGCTCCAAGTTGGTGTCTGAAGAAACCATATTCACCAATACTTCCACTGAGAAAAAGTAAAAAGTACCCTTCTTCGAGAATGTGATTCAGATCTCTTTGTGTTTTCTATACTTAACTATTTTCATGATGGGGAGCACTAAAGGAACCTGCTGAGACTGGGTGACAAAAGACTTAATGCAGGGAAAGTTTGGATGTTCTTGAGGCAACAATGATTACTATCACCATAATTATTCCACTTTACCAGCAGTGTCTCAGTGTTATGAGTAATAGATTTTTATTTTAACCGTTAACCAATGTACTCAGATTGCTCAAACGTAGCAAATACTTCCTCTGTATTTGTGTTCCCACTTGCAATCTGACAAGAGTCAAGAGAATCTGTGTTAATTTGTTTCATTGCCGTGTGCCAGTACTGAGGCATTTATTGAATATTACTGACTAAAATATCTAAAACTTTGGTAAATAGGCGTCTGACTCTAGTTATAGTAGATATATATACTACTTCTGCTTTCAGTTTCACATGCATACTGTTCTAGTAAAGTGATTCATGCCCACATGGGTGTGATAGACTTTTACTTCATACAGTTGACTGTAAAGGTCTTGCATCAAATTTGAAATACTTTTTTTCCATCTCATAGGCTAATTTTATATCACAGTAATTCTTCTTAAATTCAACTCCAGGCCCTCAGAAGTTAGATTTCTCTTTGCTTTAAACTTTTTTCCCCTCTAATACGTAACATCCAGCACTGATCGTGTTATCCTAGTGTTTTTATTTGGATCAGCAATGCAGTTTTGAAGTAAATCTGCTGTTCACGTCCGCTTTTGTTTATGTTGCAGAGTGATCCTAGGGAGTGACCTGAATTGAATTCCTTTTGCATAAAATAGTCTGAAAGATGCACTGTAGGAATGTGCCTAATACACTCTGGCCACTAATAAACCTTGAGTTTTTGAGATTAATTCTGAGACCTAGTCCAAAGTAGAAAGTCCCTGGAACATGTATAATATAGAATGTGTCCTTAAGATTAACTTTCACTGTATAGGTCCAGTTTTACTGGCCCATGCTGTTGCTAATACAACCATAGCTACCAAGTATTGCTTAGCCCTTCCATGAGATTGGTTTTGTATGCATGTGAAACTTTGTTGGATGAATGACATAAATTTGTAACTGACAGCATAATTAATGTGTTTATTTGTGGAAAAAAGTTTTCACTTATGTATTTATTTAATATTTCTAATAATGCAGAGTACCTATTTGCATATTGCTATTAAATTTTAAGTTATCATGACTGACTCAAATTTGGTCTAGGCTGTCAAATCTCTAGTACGTTTGTATAACGCTGCTGCTTCCTTTGAGAACGCACGCAGGATCACTCTCGAGGAGAAAAGACAACGCAGAAAGAACCGTGTCTTGCAGAATATACCACCTAAGGAGTCTTTCTGCTGTGCCTTTTGCAGTCGGACATGTCTGTCTCGTATTGGCCTTATT